TATCCTTTGTCTCTGTCTGCCTGTGTTTCAATAAAACCAGCTGAAGAAAGAGAACACGCCAGAGAGTTGATTGGAACAGGGTCTGAAACCGGTTCTGAGCCAGTCTCTCACTCCACTGTCTCCTTACAGCGTAAAAAAAACCCCACTGACTAGGGCTGCTCAATTATGGCAAAAACAATAATCACGATTATTATGACTGAAATTGGGATCTCGATTATTTAGGACGATTTTTCAATTTATGTTGATTTTATTTGTTTTTATTCAGTCATAAAACTGCTCAGGGCACAATCAGGACAAAAATAAATAAGAAACAAGATGATCACTAAAATAACTCCTGATTCCCAGTATAAAAAGACCAATATACTTATAGCTCATAGTCTATGAGCCAGGGGCTATAGACCTTGGTTTAACTCATTTAAGTCTAACCAGTACAGACCCAAATACCAATATTTTGCAGATACTGACAGCAAGAATTATACAGTGACATTTATAACAAATAAATGTAAATAAATTGATGTTCACAAAATGTTGCATAACGTTTATTGAGTCGTGTCAAGGTGCTGTAGGAGAGTGCACTAGCACCGTGACCTCAGCGAGATTAGTTTTTATCAGTGTGAGGAACTTATTTCTACCTTATTTATAAACTATTTATTTACAAGTCCATCAGTTAATGTAATAATTGTCCCAACCACAGCTGTGCGCACATTTAGCCATTTTTAGCGGCTCAGGAGTCCGCAGGTGCGGTGTGTGTATCACTCACTCTGGTTACTCCAACAAGGAGCCAGCTCCGAGAGCCGTTTCTTTAGCGACTGACACATCACCACATCATTCCCTTTCCTAATGTCCTGAAGAACGGTCCGGAGCGCAGGCGGAGTGTTAAGCTAACCTGCAGGAAATGTCAACGACAGTTATCCAGAAAGTAGCTAAGGGCTACCAGAGACGTTTCTGAGGTGTTCGCTAGGTATTTTTAAGATTTAAAAAGTCAAGAAGGGGGTCTGAAAAGCTGTTAGAAATAGCGTCAAAGTCGCCAAGTTGGTAACACTGTGGGAGGAGCGCTTCATTTGCAACTCAGGGCAGCGCAAGTGGGAGGAGCAAATCGGCTTGTTTTGTTTGTATAATCGTTCAAAACTCAGATCGTAATTGTGATTAAAATTCGATTAATTGAGAAGCCCTACTACTGACTTCCTCCTTTGTGGTTCATTTCAGGGTCAGTTTCAGGATTTAAAAATACCCAACACTGTCCATTCTGATACACCCGACAACTGCAGAGTCATCTGAGTATTTCTGTAGATGACAGGTCTCTGATTTGTACTGGAAGTCTGAGGTGTACAGGGTGAAAAGGAATGGTGAGAGTACAGTCCCCTGTGTTGCACCAATGTTACTGATCACCTGGTTTGATGTGCAGTTCTTCAGCCTCACAAACTGTGGTCTGTTTGTCAGGTAGTCTTTAATCCAGGCAATAGTTGAGGCCCCCACCTGTGTCTTCTGGAATTTCTGGCAAAGTACATCAGGCTGGATTGTGTTAAATGCACTGGTATCAAATAACATGACCCTGACAGTGCTGCCTGCTTTGTCCAGATGACAGTTGGTTGGTTGAAGCAGCTGGATGATGGCATCTTCAATTCCAACTCCATGGCGATAAGCAAACTGCAGCGGGTCCTGATATGTTCTAGTTTGCTTATTCAGGTGCACCAACTGGATTCTCTCCAGGACCTTCATGATGTGGGATGTCAGGGCAACTGGTCTGTAGTCGTTATTGACTGATGGGCGAGTTTTCTTTGCAACTGCAACAAGGCAGGGTGTCTTCCACAGGACTGGAACCTTCACCTGGGCCAGGCTGAGGTTGAAGAGGTGCTGCAGAATCCCACAGAGTTGCTCTGCACAGGCCTTCAGTACTCTGGGGCTGACACCATCTGGACCTGCAGCCTTGTTCCTGTTAAGTCTCTCCAGCTGCCTCTTCACCTGACTTCTAGAGAGAGACAGGTGGGAGGGGGAGGTAAATGGGGCAGCAGCATCTCCTGACTTGGTTGAAGACATATTTATAGAACCAGAAGAGTCCATGACTGCGTTAGAGGACAAAAGAGGTGGCGTGTGACAGAAAAATGTTGGATCAGAGGAGGATGGGATGTCTGATTGGCTGGGGACAGGCGAGGAAGATGCTGGGTTTGTTCCTGAACTGAACCTATTGAAGAACTTGTTCAGTTCATTGGCTGTGTCTAGGCTGCCATCTGTGCAATCCTTCCTCTGCTTGAAGCCTGTGATCTTCTTCATCCCTGGCCAGACATCTCTGATATTATTCCCCTGTAGTTTGTTCTCCAGCCTTTCCTGTATGCCTCCTTGCTGTCTCTGATCTTGATCTTCAGTTGCTTCTGTATGCTCCTCAATAATTCCCTGTCTCCCTCCTTGAAGGCTCTTTTTTTCTCATTTAGCAAATTCTTCAGTTCACTGGTGATCCAGGGTTTGTTATTAGCGGTGGGTATGATGTTGTCCGCACAGAAGTTTATATAGTCAGTGACACATCCAGTCATGGCACTGATGTCCTCTTCATATCCTTGGCAGAGAGTCATCCAATCTGTGGTCTCAAAACAACTCTGCAGGGCTTCTTCAGCATCCTGTGACCATTTTCTCACAGTTCTTCTTGTCACAGGTTGCCTCTGAACAAGTGGTTTGTATTCTGAGCAGAGAAAAACAAGATTGTGATCTGATTGTCCCAGAGAAGGTCTTGTTTTGGACATGTATGCATCCTTTACATTTGCATAACACAGATCCAATGTCTTGTTTTCTCTGGTGGAGCAGCTGACAAACTGTTGAAATGTTGGAAGTGTAGCAGAGAGCGAGGCGTGATTAAAATCACCAGATATACCCATAAATGCATTGGCGTGCTGGGTTTGTAGCTTAGCGACAATGGAACTGATGGCATCACATACATTTTCAGCAATGGCTGAAGGTGGAATATAAATGGTTGCCAAGACAACACTGGTCAACTCTCTTGGCAAATAATATGCGCAACAGCTTACTGCCAAGTGTTCAACATCTGGACTGCAGAGACGACATTTCACTGAAACATGACATGGATGGCACCATCTGTTGTTGACAAGCACTGCCACTCCACTTCCTTTTCTTTTCCTGATCCTCTTCAGATCTCTGCTCGTACACTCAGGAATCCTAGCAGAGAGACGCTGGAATCGGGGATATGGTCCTGCAGCCATGTCTCAGTGAAACATAGCACTGCACTGCCGATACTCGGCTGAGTCCTTGAAAAGGCTTGGAGTTCATCCATCTTGTTGGGCAGTGATCTCACATTGCCCATTTTGATTGATGGGAGAGATGGTTTGAATTTCCTCTTTCTCTTTCTCCGTTTTGCTCCCACTCTGCATCCACGCGTCTTTCGTTTTAGCTCATTTGGGATTTGTGGCTTCAGTTGAAGTATTATTTGAGCCTTTCCAAACTTAATCAGCTGCTCGCGATTGTAAACCAGCTTGTTGCCATGGTTACGCATCATAACAAATGCTCAAAAAGTGAAAGTGAAAAAATTGCAGTAAAAATCCTCTAAGCTTCACAACACCAGAAACAGAAAAGTAAAAGGTCCAAGAAAATTCAGGTTTTTTTAAGATGCTAGACAAAAAAATGTCCAAGAAAAGGGAAAACTTACATGTAGTTAACCGAGCTACTCCAACATGCAGCCACCCAGAGCAGCGCGAGAATTGGAAACTTTTACTAATGCAGTTTCAGTGCTGTGATACTCTCTAAAACCAGACTGAAATTCCTCAAACAGATCATTAGTGTTTCAATGCTCACATACTTGGATGGTTACTTCTTAGGTGTGTTCTTGCTGTCTTTCTAAATCCATGCTTTCGTTCTTTTTTAAACACAGAAACAGTTTTGTTTACCTGTTTGTAGCTACAGTTTCGCCGACGGCTGCCGGCTTCTTCAGGCTGACGCTGATGGTGGCGCGTCACTTCCTTCTCTGTTTATCTGCGGGCAGCAGAGGACGTTGTCGCCCTCTACTGCCCGCTCTCCCCTCTCCGACGATGCAGTCCCATGCATGGTCCAGCGTGTAAACTCCGTCGTCCCTATTCATGGTCCCACATGGATGGATGTGGATGTGGGACCATGAATAAGGACGACGGAGTTTACACGCTGGACCACGCATGGGACTGCATCGTCGGAGAGGGGAGAGCGGGCAGTAGAGGGCGACAACGTCCTCTGCTGCCCGCAGATAAACGGAGAAGGAAGTGACGCGCCACCATCAGCGTCAGCCTGAAGAAGCCGGCAGCCGTCGGCGAAACTGTAGCTACAAACAGGTAAACAAAACTGTTTCTGTGTTTAAAAAAGAACGAAAGCATTGGATGGTTACTATTTTCTCAAGGACTTTGGATAAAAATGGAAGGTTAGATATTGATCTATAATTCTTTGGGTCATCTGGATCCAGAGAAGGTTTCTTAAGTAAAGGTTGATTACAGCAACCTTAAAATCCTGTGGTACACATCCATTTACTAAGGATAGATTGATTATATCTAGAATGGGGGCAGTAACCAAAGGAAATGCATCTTTAAATAATTTGGTTGGGATCGGATCTAAAATGCAAGTTGAAGGTTTATATGAAGCTAATATTTTTGATAACTCAGAAAGCTCAACTGGATCAAAACAGCTCAAACACAGATGAGGTGCTCTAGTCACATCTGATGCTGCCTCACTTACTGAGGAAGAAGAAATCGCATTAGGGAGGATGCTAATGATTTTGTAATAGAATTAATTTTACTTGTGAAAAATCCCATCAAATTGTTGTGTGTGTTTTAAATCTAACATTTTACACCTTTTACCTATTCAGGGAATGCAGATGGAAACTAGCTCTGGCCATAATCTGGTGTAAAACATCTTTAATGCTTTTGCACATTGTCCCTTTTAAATAAAAATGAAATTAAAAAAGACTGATCTATAGTCAATTCACACCATCCTCAGACATCACAGTTATACTAATGTTTCCTCTTGTGTTGCAGTACTACCCTCTGGAGGAAGTCCTTGCTGCTGAGTATCTTTTGGATGAATTCAGACCAGATTTGATTGAGATGGTTCTTGATAAGCTCAGACCTGAAAATGTCAGGTTAGTGCAACTAAATCAGTCTGTGTTCATGTGCATAAAAGCTAAGTGGGCGTAAGTTCAATGAGAAACCATTTTTTACTTGTTATTTTTGAAATACAGTCACTCTTAGTTTAACATGCAGGCTGAATGTGAAAATTGTCTTCTACCCCTATTTCCAGCATTAGCCGCTGATCGAAAAATAGTTGGAAGAATGCTCGAATGGCAAAAGCCAATCAGATCTACGTCACGCCAAAAATTAGCATTCATTGATTCACCCACCTTGACTCGCAATGGGGAAGGCTGTTGTTGGTTTAGCTTCCAGGAAACAGCAGAGAACATCTCAGCTAATAGAAGCTAACCATTAAAATTAGCAACTCCAAAACATGGCAGAACTCCTTCAGGCATGTGTAGGGAGCCCAAGTCTTCTCCCCTTACGGCCAACTCATGGGTCCCTGGAACAAAGAATGAACGTAATCCGCTTTGCCTTACGCCCCATAGGGTTGGGCATCGTTTGATTTTGAACGATTCCGATTCCAATTCCTGGTTTCAATTCCGGTTCCTATCGATTCCTGATTCCGATTGTTTGAAGACATGACATGTTTTACATGAGCCAGCTAACCACAGGTCCTACTGGATGAAATAATCTTAACTTCAACATGAATTTTAATTGTGATGGACCTGCTGAGTGGACGCTGGCACGTTTGGCTGCAGCTGCTCTCTGGTCTTTCCTATCCGCTTTTAACTTAAATGGTTTTTCCTTCCCTCACTCCTCATGCTACAGTCATCCTCGTACACAGCCTAGTCACTTCTAGGACTGACTACTATAACTCTCCTTTTTGGTCTCCCCCATAAATCCCTCCATCGGCTCCAACTTCTCCAAAATGCTGCTGCACGGATAATCACTCGTACCCCCTCCAGAGATCACATCAGCCCTGTTCTTCAGCGTCTCCACTGGTTACCTACTGAACACAGAATCTCCTTCAAAATCCTGCTTCTCACCTACAAATTTATCCACTGTCTCGCCCCTCCTTACCTCTCCGATCTCATCCATGTTGCTGTCCCATCTCGCTCCCTCAAGTCTTCCTCTACCATTCACCTTGTGGTTCCTCCTGCTCGTCTCACCACCGCTGGAAACAGAGCTTTCAGTCGCTCTGCTCCTCGGCTCTGGAACTCACTTCCTCCTGACATCCGAAACACAGACTCCCTCCTCTCATTCAAATCCAAACTCAAAACTCACCTGTTCAAACTGGCTTACACTCTCTGGCCCACAAACTCTTCACTCTGTAATTTATAGCATATTCTTTGTAATTCTATTGTTTAAATTATCTTATTCTTATTTGTTTGTAAGTTTTGTCATGTTTTGTGAGGTGACCTTGGGTTTTGAAAGGCACCTATAAATTAAATGCATTATTATTATTATTATTATTATTTAATTCTATGAACAATAACATCACCTTCATTTAGACAAAAACATGTTTTAGAGAAAAAAAGAAAGACTTGCAGCACAACCAGTGTGTTTGTTTCTGACCACAACCAAAGTCTGGAAGAAGCCTCTGGGATGAGAGGCTAAATGTCTCCAACATATCCAGAAATGTCCAGCTGTTTTCAGCTAAAGCTCTCAGGATGATCATGTCCAGGATGACTGAGAACTACACCTCCATGCTGCAGCAGCATTCAGTCAGAACAGAAAGTGAAACTTAAATGTAGCTGCTGTCAGTAACAATCTAACAGATTTTAAACATTAAAACTCAACAGGAAGGAAATTAAAATGCTCACAGCTTTGTATGTGATTTAATATTTTTATTATTATTGTTATTTATTGTGGCAGAAGCTGGTGTGGTCCACCACAGAGAAGCTGCTCTAGCAAGATGACTTTAATTATTCTACAGGTTATTGTTCAGCCTTCTGACGCTCAAGCAGCTGCGTCTGACTGGTCTGCAGTGAGACAAACTCACCTCACACCGTCCAGAGTTTGTTCTTTAAAGCTTCTATTAAATCCACCGTGTTGACGTATTTAACAAGTTTCCTCTACGCTGCAGGAGTTGAAGTTTACATCACAGAGTAAAAGTTCGGCAGACGCGTTTGTTTATATTTTGCCGCTGCTCGCTGGAGGGGGGACTCGTGTTGCACACAGACAGCTGGTGTGATCCGCTCTGAAAAGCGTTGATCACAATTTGCAGATCACGTTTATTTTTCATTATTTTTATCATTCATCGGCCGTGGATTCCTCTTCCGTCGGCATTCTAGGAATCGAAACTAGGAATCAAAATAAAAAACGTTGAGCGATTCCGGGAAAAATGAGCAGTTGTAACCAGTTCCAATCGATGCTCGATGCCCAACCCTAGCCCTGAATCACTCATATGTTATACTTTAACTTAAATGATAAATGATGATGTCAGTTTCACTATGTCTATAACATCATTTGAGATTTTTTTAGCTGCTAAAAATTGGTCATTAAAGAGCAAGTCACCCCCAAATAAAATTTTTTTTGCTGATATTCTAAATAAATGAGTGTCTAATCATGCTGCAGACACGTGTAGTCAATAATTTGGAACTTCAGTGCATTTTAGTTAAAATTTAAATATTCTGCCTAAAACTGGCAGTGTTGTGCCGTTGTCAGGTAAAAACTCTGCACTGTATTTTAATTTAAATCTGCCACCGCTATTGGCTAAGAGGTATGCTATGATGTAAACTGGTACATTATGATGTCACAATGCTGTCGTGAGCCTGAGTGTGTGTGTATTTGTTAGCGGCTCCGCCCTCTCGGTCTGCCAGGCAACAGCATTTGTTGCATTTTTCAAACATGAAGTGGGAGTGGAGTTAGACTCTGGTAGGGGTTGACTTGCTCTTTAAAAAAAAACTACAAATCACAAGTGGCATACCTCAAGTAGCAACACCTTCCAGCAAAGAGGGGTACGTTATATTATAAAAAATGTTGTTGCCACTATTGAGATATGATTTTTTTTATTAACTAGAAGTTATTTTCATGAGCCATTACTTCCTACTTGATATGAGACTCTTGAATGGCAGTGTGTGAATGTGAGAGTGCATTAAAGAAGAAGAAGGAAATAGCTTTTCTGTAGCACCTCTCAAGATAAAAATCATAAGGTGCTTCACAAAAACAAAAATGTAAAATATAAAAAAGATTTTAGAAAATGATTAAAAATATATTTAAAATGAGCAAAAATAGACAATTGTGATTAAAAAATGGAGAGAGAGA